AAAGATGTTTCTAGTTCTTTCCTTCTGAAATATATTATTTTATGGTTCCTCATGGTAGGCATTTTCTTTTGCTACCAAGAGCTAATAAACCTTTGTGTGATTATAGGTGTCTTCTTGGTGTTCTTTGGAGGGCATACTGTATCCCTGAAAACTTAAATTTCCAAGTACATCATTATACAAAATACATATATGAAGACTTGAATTTGGTGCCAACATACCTTATATACAAACAGAGATATGAAAAAATTGTGGTATATATGTGTATTAAGAATTGTAATGCAAAAAAAGAGTACATGTAGAATGGCATAAATTGACATGAACATATTTTATACACAGAGATACAAAAAATTGTGCTCTATATGTATAATAACAATTGTAATGCATTCCACTGTTGTGTATTTAAAAAATAAATTTAAAAAAACAAAAACACAAAAATATTTCATAATTAAAAATGTTTTAAAAAACAAAACAAACAAACAAAAAATTCCCAAGTACATGTGTGCAGACCTCTGAAGTTCCTGGACTTAATTTTTAGAAATACTATATTGATGGTAAAATAACTATTTTACCAGATTATTTATGAAATGCTAGTGGTTGTTATTCTTACTTAAAATTTTGAAAATAAATACAAGATATCTCAAAGAGATTAGAAAAAATTTTATTCATCACTTCAAAGTAAATTATATATTACAAATTTTGGTCAAAATAATATTATTAAAGGTATTTTCAGTAGTACCACAAAGYATCTATACCTGAAGATAAAATCAAATAGTAAACAGGTAAGCATACCCTGAAATCTACTCATGTTTAAAAATTCCTATACATGTTTTATAGTTATGAATTGGAAGGAACACACAAAGAGCTACATGATTTTCAAATAACAAACACATGAATTATCTCCATGCTCAGAATAAATCATTAGAAAGGTGCAAGATCTTTAATTTTTTAAAAGGCGTGTGAGTACCTTATTTTATACAACAAAATACTATAGTTCTAGTTCTCTTTATAGCCCCTTTTCAACACTTTTGTGGGAGATGCTTATGAGTAAATGGAAGCTTGGTGGGCTAAAGGCTTTTTTTTTACCTACACTCCATTGGGTTCAGGAGTTASAGGAGTGGTGGGAATTTTAGGCTATATCTGAAAGTTCAGAAACAGATTTCTCATTAGAAAATTTGTACTTGCCTTTTTGATTTTTGTACAAAGATATCACAAATGAATTGATCTGCTTCACTTATAAATTATAATTAAGWTTCCAGTCTGATGGTGAGTAGCTTAAAATGGTATCTCATACCTTGCTGATTCTTGTCTAGTTGAGATAGAAACAAATTTTGTGACAGTGGATAGGAGTATTTTCAATTCTCTGACAATAAAAAGGCATAGATCATCTCCCCACTTCTGGTGGTTCTGGGAATTGAACCTAAAGCTGCATACATGCTCTAGCCAAGTGTTCTGTCACTGAGTTACACCCATATCACAACATAGATAATTAAATAAAACTAAGTATTCCAAATTCTTTCATTTTCCAAAATCCTCTGGGTAAAGCTAGAATATTGAAAAATGAGTTCAGGTCAGAGCAGACACTAAATCAAAGAACTACTTGAGATCAAGAAACTAATTTCATAAGAGATAGTATTAAGAGACAACAGCTTGATCAACAAAATGATAATACAAGTTCTATTTAGAAAAGAGTCAATGTGGTAATGTCTTTGAATTTMATAAAACTATACAATTTGACATGCAATGAGTGGATAAAATAATTTTTTTCTTAAGCAAATCACTTGGCACTTTATCCTGACCTACAATTTCTGTAATCCCATTTGAATAATTACAAAAAACAACATGGAATTAGGAAGTGGCACATTTCTTGAATATTTACTTAATCCTAGGTTTACACATTTCATTGACTCTTTCTAAAATCCCTTAGAATTAAGCACAATTTCCCCCAATTGACTCATGTAAACAGAGGCTGAGAGCCCCCCATCTCCATGCTATAAATCCCACATAATAAAATGAGATTCAAACTCCTACAGTGCTCAAAAGCTTGAGACTTTTTTTTAAATTTTTTTTTTTTAGTTTTTGACAGACCTTTATTTTATTTATATTTATTCAGTGCTGAGAATCGAACCCAGTGCCTCACACGTGCCGGGCAAGTGTGCTTCCACTGAGCCCCAGACCCAGCCCACTTGTGGTCTTTTTTATACTAACATGTTACCTTCCATAATAGAGATGTTACAGGTGACCCAGCCAGCCCAGGTTTTAACAATAGAGGAAGAGGGGGAAAGTAAAGTCACTGTGACTTTTTTTTTTTTTTTGATGTGATAATTGGTATGTTCTCTTTCTCTTTTTAAAGAATTTAACCTTTACTTTATTTATTGTTTTTATGTGGTGCTAAGGATCAAATATAGTGCTTCACCTGTGCTAGGCAAAGTCTCTACCACTGAGCCACAACCCCAGCCTTGTTTTCTTTCGTTTTTTTTTTTTTTTAATTTGTTCTTTTTAGATATACATGGCAGTACAGTGTATTTCRACATAGCATRCATACATGGAACATAACTTATTCTAATTAGGATCCCATTCTTGTGGTTGTACACTATGTGGAGTTTCACTGGTTGTGTATTCACATATGAACATAGGAAAGTTAGGTCCAATTAATTCTACTGTCTTTCCTATGTCATTTCTTTAGAGAAATTCTTTCAGTCAGTAACTGGAGTTTTTCCATGCCTTTAAGCAGCTACAACTATGAATATGTGTTAGAAGGARGGATGTTTTTGAGATAAGATTTCCCCTAGGGATTTACAACATTTAGGATGAAGAARCTGTTTATTTTCTAGAAAGTGAAACTTGGGGAAACTTAGAAAAATTTGTRGCCTTAGGCTTGTGATATTAGATGACATTTTAGATTGGAGCTGAGAACTTATTCCAAGTGTGTCTTTCAGATTCAACTTTGGTATCCAATCTATAAACCCCTGCTGAGATATGCAGTTTTCGGCCTATCCTATRTGCATTGAGGCTTTGTTGTTGTGTAAGAATAGAAATAATGATTTGGAGTCACAAATTTAAAAAGAAATGAGCACAGTCTATTGTTAACTACTTGCATTCATAAGAAATAATCACTATAAATAACCAAAAGCAGAAAGAAACTAGATACTCCAATTTCCTTTCCAGCCAAGCAGAAAAAAAAAAAAAGTCCTGAAAATTGCAATGTACTCTGTTTACATCTAACTATTGTTCTCTTTGAAGGATAAAGATCTTTCAGGAAGAAAAGGGCTTGAGACAGAAAGATCCACATGAAAGGCTGCTTCATGAAGGAGAGGGACTCTTCAAAGAGGGGCACTTAGCAAATTGGTGCTGATGGTTCTCTGGGGAAATACAAGAGGGTAAAGCATCAATGGAATACATCTTGAGCTATGGAGAATCAGGTACCAAAGGCTGGTATTTCCAGGTATGAACAATTTTATTTTTGGGAGACAAGGTTTTTTTTTCAGATAAAGAAGGTAGCCTAAAAATTCTGGACAACAAAGAAACATTCCTTCCCTAACCTCTTTGTCACCTTGGGGTTTCAACCCGAGCAAAAAGATAGTAAGTGGGGAATGGCAAAAAAAAAAAAAAAAACCCTGAAACTGTATCATTGAACACTGGGTAACTCCTCTGTCAAGCATTTTGAAAGGGTCAAAGATGTTGTGCGGGGAAGTAAGTAATGAAAGAAACACTGGACTAGATATTATGGCACTCTTGTGTTTTAGCTTCAGCTGTTTCTTGCTCAGAATATTTCTTATTTACCAGTTATAAAATAAGAGAGTTACAATGAATATTGCACTAAAGCTCCTTTTGGTTTTAAAGATTCAAGAGCAGGATGATTTTCACTTAAATGTTAAGTTATTTGGGGGGATGCTGGCATGTATTTTATTACCTAGTGTTCACTTTTCAGGGTTTGTAGCTAGGGAATCAGGGAAACMTGCATTCTCACTGCTCAGCTATTAGGAATACTCAATTTGGGGAACTTACTATTTTATTCCAGGGGCCAGGAATCAGTTGTTGGAGTAGATGGAGGATAAAGACAAATGCTCAAGCTTAGAGAAGGACTGAAAGGCTTTCTCAGTGGACTGATTGTCAACTTGCAACTCAGTTGACTGTTCTTGCTTCTTAGGATCGTTCTGGAAACATTCACAGTGTCTAAATACCAATAAGTTAATATAAGAGGTTTTCTTCGGATAAACCAGGCAAACTGGAACTGAAAATGATCAGATTAGGAAAATGACTGCTGGAATACTTAAGTAAGGAAAGAAAAGTGATCTGATGAGATATTGATGAGGGATACACTTAACTCAGGGTCTCTGAACACTCAGCCAAGTTCAAATGKTAAGAAGCACAGGCTGAAGTAATGCTGAATCAGTATCAGAGGTAAGTTCAGCTCTCTTCATATTCTGGGGAAAGGCTTTCATTTCTCCAAATTAGAATGGAGCCCAAGAGCTAAAGCCGTCTGTAAAACCAGAAGGAAGACAAGGTATCTCAGCAGCCTTGATCTATGTAAGGAAGAATATGGAATATTTACCAACTGGACTAAGATATCTTGTTTTTTCACATTTCCAGATCTCATACTCGTGAGACAGATACAAGAGAAACAACATGAACTTGTTGGGAAGGATTTCCTGGCAAACATTTGGAAACCCCAATTTAGGCAGGAATGTGAAGAATATGGAGTTCCAGATGCCAAGCACAAAGAAACAGCACTCTAAGTAGAGTGGATTTTACCCAAGAACACAATTATTATCTCTTATATTGTTTTGGGGTGTGAAAAATGAAATTAGAGTTGGATATTTAAAACTTGGGGGGGCTGGGAATGTGGCTCAAGCGGTAGCGCGCTYGCCCGGCATGCGTGCGGCCCGGGTTCGATCCTCAACACCACATACCAACAAAGATGTTGTGTCCGCCGAGAACTAAAAAATAAATATTAAAAATTCTCTCTCTCTCTCTCTCTCTCTCTCTCCTCCCCTTCTCTCTTTAAAAAAAAATAAAAAAAAACTTGGTTTATAATCTATGGGCTGATTTTCTAACAAAGAGAAAGATGATTACGATAACCTATCATTTGGGTACTGCTGGTAATCTATAAAGATCCCTGAAAACCTGTTTATTTATGAAAAGACCCAATGATTTTACATTGAGAATGCATYCTAGGAGAGATAGAATGTTGTTTACCATCCATCAAAGAAAATCTTCGTGTTGTTTTTCAAATTAAGACCTGTTATTCTTGTTACAGAAAAAAGTCTACCATGTCAGCCCAGAAGACAGTTTTAAGTAGCACAGATAAGATATGAGACTTAGCTTCTTTTCCTGAGGCTCACTGTACCTGCATTTCCCTTTATCACTCAATGAGAATACATCATTCAAGCGACTACTAGTAAAGAGGTAGGGAAGTCATCCCAGCCCACTCAGGGGTATATCTTGAGATGGGCAGGGGAATGAAGGGTTCCAAAGTAGATGGTACTTGAGAAAGCAGGGAAGTCTGAGTTCTTGCCCCATAGATACTCCATAGATTGAACAATGAGAGAGACACACAGCTTTATAAACAGTATAGTCCAGGATGGGGAATAGTTGTCAGGTTCATTATTTACCTTTCATTTTGGAGATCTGAAGCAGTTTTAGAAGAGAAAAAGAACAGCTTTTTGCCACTTAAATTAGTTTATTGTGTATAAATTAAAGATAAGGAGCCGTGACTGATRAATAAATACAATGAAGGGTATATTTAGAAAAATTAGAGGTATTTCTATTAATATCTTAGGGTCAACACTAATTTGGAAATGCAAGGGTTATAAACTGAGAAAATAGAAGATGTCCATGAATAGTTCATATTCTTACCTAAGACAGTGGGTTGAGAGTGAAATAGGAAAGTGAGTTTTGTGAAATCACATCTCTTCAAAATCATGTCTGGTAGCATGGTCTTGCTTGAATAATATACCAACAAGTGCATCAAGGGTCAATGAAAATATTCTCACCATAGTTGAAAATTTAAGTATCACAAAAGCATCAGCTTTCTTCTCACTTCAAATATGAAAATAGTAAATATATGAAATTTACTTATCTTGACAAAACTCATTTCAAAATGAGCTCCCACCTTCCCTTATAGAATAATACCCTATGCTCTAAATCAATTTGCATCATATGGCTTGTCAAATGAGTCTGCAACAATCTTTTCCTGATGCTACCTAAAGTCTGATCACTTGAAAATTAACTCAGATGCCACATTCTTAAAGGTAGCACTATTACACAAGCTTCAACACTAAGAACAGGAATACATTGTTCTTTTTCATGAATATACCATTCATTAGCTTTGCCTGATAAGCTCATCTTCCAGTCCAAGAATTACTTAACATTTAAAAAAATTATAGGATATATTATATTCTAATTCAGCTCTTCAAAAGGTGGAAAATTTCCATCAAAGGAAAACAGGGGTGCTTACCAAAGGGACAGGAACAATGCAGGCATTTGATCATTTGTCTCTGCTTCTCCACKGTAACCTAGTATTTTATCTGACACACAGAAACTAAGTGAATGCTGAATGAGATAATTAAATCAGATGGCTCAAGAGTTAGGATTCTTTCAGTCTTAAAACTTGTCATGTTTTTCCTTTGGATCCTGCTTATGTTTGACAAATAGACATGTAGTCTTTTAAACAGTTACCAACATTTTTTTTTCAAGAGAAAGCTTCTCCTATTTCAACTTATTATTTCAGTACAACTGGATGACCTCATCCCACTCAGAAATAGGCCAGATTCCATTGGACTGCACATTGGGGGGAGAGTTCTTCCAGTCCCATATCTTTATAGGAATCTTCCAGGTCTTACCATAGTTGGCTTCAATGTATTCGATGGTTTCACAGGGCACATTGACCTTCATGTCTACAAATTCAGTCCAGCACAGTGTAAACTTGGGAAACAGGTATCTGTGGTAGAACAGAGGCATTGTGGGGAGGGGTTAGGCTCCCACAATGGAAAGTCCAGCAGGAGAACCCAGTTACTAGTGCATTCTTGGTTGAAGGACAGCCCTTTCCAACTAAGCAGCTTTGGGAACAGAGAAAGTGGACATTTGATACTTTTAATTGTCCAACATTCCTTTCTCTTCAAATGCTAACACCACCCCAATTTTCCTCCCTTATTTCCAATTCATATGAGTAACAGCTAATCCATCCCCTAAGATCTAACAGTAATTTATAATAATCAGTTCAGAGATGGGAATGTATCCAAGTTATACAAATGAAAGTCCTAGAATTTCTGTGGGATTACTAGGGAAAGAGGTGTCAAAGCAAAGTTACCAAAAGATAAAAGAAAAATTGTTTTCTTTTCTTGTACAACCTCAATTTCCTAAGGATATAGAATAAGCATGACTCCAAGTTGCATTCCCAGGTTTTCCCTGTGGTTCCATATCTTCATGATCCTACCTATAGTTTGTCTTTCTTACTTTTCCCTCAAATGCTAAAAAATATCTTTAAACTAGCCTAAGGAATGTTAGTTATAATGAATTTAACTATATCTATTGTAGAACTACAACAATTAGAAGGTAAGTTTCAGTAATTAAACCAGGACATGTTTCTTAAAGGCATTTTGGATCAAGTAGATTAAATCCAATGTATTGCATAGGAAAGCTAAAACTAGCAGGTCTGCTTGAAGTAAGCTGTGTGTGTGTGTGTGTGTGTGTGTGTGTATGTACACGTACACATATACCTCCCTATATTCGGTGTTGTTTTTTTTTCCTGAGAAATGCTGCTTCTCTTCACAACATAGAATGAACTTTCAGTAATGAAACCTGAAGTGGCAACAGAAGATATCACAGAAATTTAAAACTTTAGAGGATTAGCCAGGCATGGTGATATATGCCTATAATCTTAGTTACTGAGTAGGGTGAGGCAGGATTGCAAATTCAGTCAGTCTGGGCAACTTAGTTAGACCTTGTCTCAAAATAGAAGTTCAGTGGTAAAGAGCCTCTTGGGTTCAATTCCTTAGTACCATAAAATTAATTAAAAATAACATATTAGAGTTTAGATTAAATAACATTGTAGAAATAGGACCTGAGATGTTCTCCAAGAAAAGGTCATTTCTTATATATTCTGCCTTTGAATATCATGTTTTACCACCAAAGAAACATAAAGCCATACATAAAAATGAGACCGAACAAACTCAAAAGATAGCAACAAGTGCCTTCTACAAAAACCAATGGCAGTTAAAGGGCTGTCCCAGCTGGCTCCTGTGAAAAGATAGCCTCAGCAAATCTCATAGCTGAGAAAGAAACAAGATATAGCTTAGACCCACCAGCTGCTTGTCCCTATTTTATTCTGCATACTCCTATTCAAGGAATTGCTTATTTTGTCATCAGACATATCCACCCATCTTTAACTTCCACCCTCCCAAATCAAATGCTGGTCAGCAGAATAGCCACCTGTCCTGTCCTATCAAGTTGTCACACTGAAAYTGAGTTCAGGCGAGATCATGGCCTGTCTAGTAAGTTAGTCTAGAACACTCCTCAAAGTATTAGCCTCTAAAGTCTCTCATCAAAGAGCTGGAAGAGAAAAATAACAGAACTAGGATAGACAGGATAGAAGAGAATGCTAAAGATTTTATGAAAGCCATGTTTTGGACAATGAAGGATTTGTGAGAAAACCCAAACCATTTAAATATATAAACAACGCAAAAATAACACAAAGACAATTTAACTAGAATGTGAATTTTTATTCCCAAACAGAAATATCTCTAAACTTTCTGTGGCTTCTTTTCCCCAATTATTTTTCAATCCATTCAGAAACAAACAAAAACCCCATCTAGTTTCCTAAGAGAAGAGTAAAGATAAACAAACCATAAAATGGGAACACTCATCATAAAATAGGATTGTTGAGAGGAAGGGGGGTGAGTGGCACAGAAGAGTACATGCCACCCACCCTGTCAGGTTACCAGTAAATAATGCCTATGACTAAAGTACACCATGGGTCTGCAACATTACCTTGGGCTTTAAAGCTAGGATTAATTTTGGCTGATGAGTTTGTACTTCAAAGCCCTTGGACAGGATCCAAAATGTGATTTAAATTTAGACTACAGCAACCCTAAGTCAGAAAATAAGTTTAAGGGATCTTACTATCACACACACACAAGATTCTTCCATCTATTTTTTTTCATACCATGTTTACTTTGCTTGATTTTTGCCTAATAAAGTAATTAGAGGGGCTGGGGATGTGGCTCAGGCAGTGGTGTGCTTGCCTGGCATGYGTGCGGCCCGGGTTTGATCCTCAGCACCACATACAAAGATGTTGTGTCCACCGAAAACTGAAAAATGGATATTAAAATTCTCTCTCTCTCTAAAAAAAAAAAAAGAATGACCATTGAGGGCTGGGGCTATAGTTCAGTGGTAGAGCACTTGTTCGATCCTCAGCACTACATAAAAATAAATAAATGAATAAAGATATTGTGTCCATCCACAACCATTGATATTCTTTTTTT